CCCTCCCTCCCTCCCTCCCTCCACATGGAACACAGGGTCTTTGCACTGAGCTTCTTCTTCAGCGTTTTTATTTTTGAGACAGGGTCTCACTAAGTAGCATATTTGCCCAGGTTGGACTCAAACTTTGATCCTCTTGCCTCAGCCTCCCAGAGTTCTGGGATTATAAGCCTGTGGCACCTTCCCAGACTGGCTATTTCTGTTTCTCTGAAGAATGCAGATGCTCCAAGACTGTCTGGTGATCAGGCAGATGGGATCCCGGGGTCCAGGACGGACTGTCCCCAGCCCCAGGGGCTGAAGAGAAGACTCCTGCGTCTCAGGGCTGGCCGGACTCTCTGATGAAATGAGAGTGCTCAGGTGCCTCTGCAAGGTGACTCAGAAAAGATGATTTTGGTCTTGTGGGTACACAAGGTAAGCTGAAGCAGGGGTTCCAGTATGGAAGCAAAAGGAAAAAAATGAGAGATGCTGAGAGTGTAACTCAGGGGCAAGCACAAGGCTCTGGGCTCTATCCCCAGCATCACAGAAAGAAAGTGAGGAAGAGGAGAAGGGAAGGGAGGGGAGGGGAGGAGAAGGAAGGAAGAAAGGGAAGATGGGAAGGAGGGAGACAGGGAGGGATGGGGGAGGGAGGGGCTGAGCAGAGAGGAGAGGCTAGGTGGGGGCTGCAGCTGTTCCCAAAGGCATTGGTGGCCAAGCAGTGTCCAGTGTGTCGGACCCTGTCCCCCACCTACCCTGCAGCCTAATGACACACCCTATCACTGACGCACCTTAGCCAACCCAGACTCAGTGGCCTTTAACAAACATCAAGAAAGCCCTGAAGGTGGCCCTGGACCCGTCACATCACCCTGTCTCAAGGCTGCTTTGTCCATCAAAGAGGGTCAGCGGCTCCTCGGGCAGGTGGATTAGGACCTGGGCGGATCAGGGATGGCCCCTCAGAGCCGAGATCCTCGGTCACCCGGAGAGAACAAGGCTTGCAGCCGCACCGGACCTAGAGGGTGGGGACACGTCCAGGCTGCCAGGGCTGGCTTGGCCGCAGAGTTCAAACGTCTGCTTGAGGTTAAGACAAAAACCCCTGCTGGTCCTTGCCCGACTTTTCAGCTGTGTGTCTGGAACAGCAGCCCCGTGGTGGGGCTGGGGCCAGGAGATGGCTCTGTCCCTTCCCCCTGGCACCACCAGCTTAGGTAGGGAACAGAGCTGAGCGCTGTCTGTGTATGCATCACCAAGAGAGGAAAATGTCCCCCAACAGCAACTGGGCTAACGTGAGGGTTCCTAAGGAGGAAAGAAGGGATGCACGCAGAAATCCTGGCCTCAGGGACAAGACACCATGCCTGCCAATGGCGCACACACAGAGGGACGGGGGAGCTGTCAACTGCAGGATGCTACCTCGCAAGCTCCAAGGCTGCTCCTACTGTCTGGCTACGCCATGACCCTGAGTGACCTGGTAGGGTCCCCTTCAGTCCCTTGAGGGGACAGCCACTAGAGTGCAGAAGGTCAGACATCAGTGCCCCCTGCTCAGCTCCCAGCCACAGGGACAGGCTGGAGATCACGTCTACTACATCCACAGTTGCCACAGGGCTGAGGGACCCCAGCGCTGCACCTTGGTTCTTCATGACACCACTAGGATCCATACCGCAGAAAGATGAGGGCTCTTGTGGCCATCAGATGCGCCCCGGGAAGCCCAAAAGAGAAAGAGTCGGAGACACTGGGACACAGAGACACAAAGACTCCGATAACTGGCATAAAGCAGGGATGTCAGGCTGGAGCGCGCTGTCACCAGGGCTTGGGGGCTTAGCTCGGGTTGGGCACGGTTGTGGCCCAAGGCTACTCCTCAACCCAGAGGCTCTGCCTTGGTTTCCCTCCCCATGCACTCCGTGGACCCTCCTCTGGCCTGTCCATCCACATCAGACTTGAGGTGGACATGCGTCCCCTGCATCTTGGAGGAGGCCCAGGTGCTCTGGACAACCACACTGCCTGCCGGAACTGGGAGCCAAAGTCCCCACTAGACCCTGCGTCCCCACGCGGCTCTCAAAGCTCCCAAAGCTGGGACGAGAGCTCTCCTCACACAACAGAAATCCCTCCTGCAGCCCACAAGGCACTGGCCCCTTCTAAGCTGGTTCCCCACGGGCCAATGAGCCCCATATGGCCACAGCAGTGGGGCCCCTGGTCACCTCTGCCATGGGAGGCTCCTCCCGGGGGCTTGCCCAAGTTGCCATTTCTGACCTGCCTGTTGGGAAGAGGACACTCTTGGCTACACCTGACGAGGGCTACCTGGCCTGAGCTCTGGAGACAGTGCCAACCTGAAAGCCCCTCACCTGGGTCTCCAGGCAGGTCTGCACTTAATAGGTGGGGAAAGCAGGTGTCCTGTGTGATGCTGACTCCGGCTCATCTACACCTGGGCCTGTCTGTTCCCAGAAAAGGTCATCGCTGCGGACCCTGCTGGGGCTGGCGATCCTATGTAACACAGCCGCTCCCAGCATGGGCACAAATCCCCACATATGTGCACATGCATGTGCACCACCCAAGGAAACATGTACACACATGCATCTCACATGCCGGCGTGCGCCCCACCACGGCAGCCTTCTGTGCAGACACACAGGCAGACATGACACCCAAACATGCCAGCACAAGCGTGTACCCTCTGCTAAAAAACATGTACATGCCAATGGCAGAGATGTGTGTACGGATGCCGGCAGGGCCCTGCCACACAGATACATGTGTGTATCACATGGACACATGTGTACAGTGAACCAGCACATACAGCTACATGTGTGGCTGTATACCAGGGTAACACCTGCCCCACAGGACATGGGGCCACCATGCATACCCACAGGAAATGTGGTGGGCAAGCCATCAGGGACAGATGCCCTGGGCCAAGCTAGCCTTGGCTAGCCATGCTGGAGACTGGCCCAGAGAATACCTAGCAGCTGGCTTAGGAGTGCCCAGCCAGGTGGGGGCCAGCAGGAGAGTGGCCGGCCCTGCCGCAGCACGGCCCACCCATAGGTTTCATATCCAAGCGTCAGTCCCTAGGGCTCTGCTGTGGGCGTCTGTTCGCCGGGAACGTGCCCACTCCACCTCCATCCACCCTGCTCACCGTCCTTCTGTGCACCTGCCTTGGACACAGGGTCATCCCTAGGCCTGGGCACTACTTTGCCCCTCTCCTCCTCCGGGCCAATGTCCAATGCCCCACTTGCCCTGGCTGCCCTCGGGCAGCAAGGCCTGAGGCCACTCCTGTTGGCGTGTCCTACATCCCAGGACACTTAAGCACAGGTTCTGGTACAGCCAGCCCTGACACCAAATCTCTAAATGGGTCCCCCAGCTGCAGAGAACCCCCCCTTGTCATGCAGAACACCTCAGTGTCAATGACAAAGCCTAAAACTGGACCGCTCTGGGCTTCCTAAGCTAGCTGGTCATCCGGGTCCTGGGCTCCAAAGCAGAGTGACAGAGATGGTCACTTGCAACCCAGGTACCTGAGGCCAGAAGGGGAGTGGAAGATGAAGGTCCCATGCCACAGGGTCTGCTCTGGGACCACCTGGCCATATCCCTGGGCAGCAGACAGAGCAAGCGGTGAGATACACAGCAACAGGAGGGATGGAGTGGCCGGCCAAAGCCAGGCACTGAGGGGGAACTTGACTCCCCGGCCAGAGGTACAGCCAGCAGCCCATGGCCCCGCGGCAGGTGGGGACACTAGGGCAGCCGGGAGCACCCCCTTCCTTCCTAGTGCCTGGTTCCTGGAGTGTCTGCCAGAACAAAGGACGGCCACGCCGGGACGGCGATTCCAGAGCTGAAACCAAAAACTTGGTCCAGGGAAGCACTGTTCGCTGGGTTCCCCCGGCGGCCAAGCGACAGGGAAGCGTCTTAATCAAACCCACATGTGACCAACACCACTGGCAGTGCAGGACCAACTCTGCGGTGGCCCGGCAATCTCTCCGAGGCCCGGGAGCCTGCCCTCAGCCCTGGGGGCCAACCCCACATCCCTGCTCCTGTGGGGGCTGCCTCAGGCACACTCCCCAACCCCCTCGGTGGGACACTGGCTGCCCTTGTCCAGAGCCTGCCTGAAAGGCGGCCCTTTATGCAACTTTCCACCAGGGGATCAGGACAGCAGGGGACCAGAGGGGACTGCTGCTCAGGAAGGCGCAGGAACGCAGGAACACGGAGGAGGAAAAGTGACCGCTGGCAGAGCGCCCGGTCAGCAAGGCTCCCTGTATGTAGATCGGAAGACCCTGAGTTCTAGGCTGACCACCCTGGACCCCAGGAGCCCCAAACCCTGTCTCCCATGGGAACCCCAGTCCACCCCAGTTTCCGAGACCCCGAATGGCCTGGGTGGTTCTGAGGACTCTGGGAAGTGGTCAGTGGCCAGCAAACTTTTCTTGTCGGACTAGCGGGGGCTTCTGTCATCCCCCAAATTGTACTCAGTGTCTGGCACACACACGGCCAGAAACAGGGGTCTGTGCTGCAGGCGGCAGGGCCCCACAGCCGGGCGTGGCAGGCTGGGCACCAGGCCACCCAGGTCCCACCCCAGCTCTGCTCCTCTCCCTGTGACCTTGAGCCAGCCCCTGGTCCCCCTCCACCTCAGTTTTCCCACCAACACCAAGAGGAGGAAAGAAAACACTAACCTATTGCACCTCCCAGACAGACTACAGCCCCTCTGGTGGCCCCCCATCCCTACAAAGCTGGGACCAGGACCCCCTGGAGTGAACGTGGGGGAGGGAAAGACCAGTCCAACTTCCTCAAGTTCATCTGGGGTCCTTCCCGCAGGACGCACGGGGAGACCCTTCTCCCGAGGGCCACTATCCTCCACCTCGGGGAGCGCTCCGCAGCAAGGTCCCCCGGGATCCACGCAACTCCTCAGCCCTGAGGGAATCCCCTGAGAGGCCGGTGGGTAAGAGAGACCTCAAGTCCAGAGAGGAAACTCAGCGCGGGCCCAGCTTCTGAGGGTGTCAGCAGGGATCCCCAAACTCTTGGAGATATGGGCGCTCTAGGGAACGCGGGGCGCGCCTCTGCATGGAAGTGGGGCGCCCTAGGAACACCGCACACGAATTCCGGAGGGGTCGGCCGTTCCGGGAAGGGGGGTCCTTGGATGCTGTGCGTCCACCTCGGCGGCGGGGCGCGGTGCTGGGACTGACGGAGGCCCCCGGCGGGGACGGGTCCCGGCGCCGCGCGCTCACCTGGGGTTGCTGCGGTTCCAATAGACGGCGTAGCGGTCCGCGTTGGCGCGGGCAGCGTCCTCGGCGCGCGCGCAGGGCGGCGGCGGCGGCAGCGGCAGCAAGAGCAGCAGGAGCGGGAGCCACGGGCGCTGCGCG